AAAGGAAAGGAAAGGAAAGGAAAGGAAAGGAAAGGAAAGGAAAGGAAAGGAAAGGAAAGGAAAGGAAAGGAAAGGGCTTTCATTAATTAAGACTGGTATGGAACAGTCAGGAAAAAAGAGCAGAAATGAAAAACAAAGCCTGCTAATTAAATTCAAGAAAAATTCTCTCAACTGTAAGTTTAACTAGAGTTAAAGTGTAAGTTTATCTAATGGAATAATAATTTTCATAATTCCAATATCTTTGGAATTCCAATAATTTTCAAGTTGATCCAAAGAAACCATATCTAATTCTAATTCTACTTCAAAATAAATATAAAGTGTCCATAAAGATGCTGAAAGTGTATTTCCTGGATGGAAAGCTGCAAGGAATCATAGCAGCTACCACAAAGCATCTAATCCTAATTTCCATTAAGCCAATCTGGAAACAAAGGCATTGAAAGGAGAGACTCGGACTTAGAGGAGTGGGGTATATACAAGAAAGAGATTCAGTTACACAAAGTACAGACAGTCTGCACCTTCAACTGAATCCAGCAGTTAATTGGCAGTCAGTGCAATTGAACAAAATAAACAAAATGTATTTCTTGCAGACTGTTTAGAAATGTGGGCCACAGAATTCTGCACCAGATGCAGTTTCCGAATCATCTTTGTGGGCAATTGAGCCAGAGGGCCTAAGAATAGGTAGTGTGAGAATAAGGAATAAGGGTGCCATCTTTTGAAATTGTCCGTGACCTCCGCTCATTTCCACCATCTAGGAATGTAACAGCTAACAGGATCTAACCTGTTCATACCTGAATTGCGTGTCTGGTGTCTCAGAGAGACTGTGGCCTCATCTAGGTAAGCAAACTGCTCCCCCATCCCCAAATCTTGTTTATGTATGATTAGTTTTAAGCAAAACCATCTTTTTATCCAATACATCCGTTTGCTCAAAGAATTTTTTTTCCCCTTAGAGTCAGAATGTTAGAAGGAACAAATATGTTTTCTTCCCACCAACCCATTCTGTCCATGAAGCCCGCCCAGAAGGTAGGAACCACAGAGTTCAAGGTGTGACATGTCCTCAATGCAGAGTCTACAAAGCAAAGCCTCCATGTGACCCAAGAAAGCCATTTAGTTTTCCTGCTTGTGGGAAATTTGTTTAAACAGCATTTCTTAAACCATAAATAACGCAGCTGTGTGATTGGGTACAATCATTTGGTGTTCTGTGTACTGCTTCCTATTATTGTAAATCACAACATGGTTTGCAACAGAACAATACAAGTATTATAATACAACTAATAAGTTAAAAACAATATAAAAATGATGATTTCATTAAAAAGATAGCAGAAAGGACAGGAGGTGGGAACAAGAGAAAATAAAAATCATCCAGACATCTCCATTCATATAGGAAAGGCTTAGGGAAAGATAGACATCTTTAGCAGACACCTCTTAAATTTCAGGGGAGAGGATATTCCAAATGCAGGGAACCTCTAAAGAGAAGGCCACAAGTAATTGCAGATGGCATTGTGCAGTTCACAGCACATGCTGGAGAACTTCCTCTGAAGTGAAAGAATCGACCAGGTTGGTAATGCAAAGGCAGTCAGTCACATACCATGGTTTCAAATTATTTAAGGACTTTATCTTGCAGTTGCTTCATGAACCATGTAATATGTGAATGAACAGGAGCCCCATTCAACAACCTGGCCACCAAATTCTGTACTGGATACACCTCTGGACCACACAGAGCATGAAACATAAACATGGACTTACCAGTGTATGATATGGTAATTAGGCTAGGCCTATAGATTTCAGGAGATCTATACATTACAATATTAGAATATGTATAACAATGCATTATATTTTGATGCTAAAAAGATGTAATTTTCAGCAATATTCAGTACAGTACATAGGGATAGACAGTTCCCAGTGTTACAAGACATTCACATCGTTGCTGAAGAACAGAGATAATTCTAATTTGTCAGGGCAAGTTAAGGCTGAATATATTTTGGATTCATTACAATGTCATTCCTATCCGCTTCTGTTTCTTACTGGTTCCTCCTGACAGAAACAAACCCATCCATCTGTCATAGATGAAATCGTTCTTCTATGCCACAATTATGCTCTTTGCTCTAAATTACTCAATCCAGCTCACCAAGCAGTTTACATGCTTTAAGCCTCAGCATTATACATCTACTCAACAAAGTCATTTGTCAGGGTCAGGACACTGTCTGCCGTTACGTTTCCTAATGATTGAAGCAACCAGTTTCTCTCTTTTTCTTCCTGTTTTACTCCAAACATGGAAGGAAAGCTGGCAGAAAATTCTTTGCATTGCCTGTATTCATCATCCTTGTCAGAAAGGGCGGGGGGGGGGGGGGG